CTTCAAGTCTAAACCTCCTGATTGCACCTGTGCTAGTTCCCAGTTCACATATAATCCGGCTGGCCACGTTATCACCAGAGACCTCAACATTGTCACTAACACTTCCCTGCGAAATTTATTATCCAAAGGTTCGAAATATTGTAAACCTAAATCCATCAATTGAAAATACAACTTCAAAATACTGATGGATTCAGTCGCGGATTATGCCAGGCAATGGGCTAAACGCGAGAAAGAAGACGTAGATACTCTTTCCGAATGAATTAAGGCTGTGAGGTCGTTGATACAAATCCGAATTAAGAAACTAAATGGGTCTATCAATACCCAAGCTACGTCATTTTTTAAAGACCCAAATGTTGCAAAACACTTGTCCTACCTCCATGACAAATATGTTGTTGTCCCCGCAGATAAAGCCCCAAACCACATCGTTGTTGTTTGTGAATATCATTACATAAACTGCTTGATCAATGAATTAGGTATTGACAATTTATTTGGAAACTCAACATATACCCTCACGACACTTATCAAAGAAGAAATCCTAGATAATCATAGGTCTGTTCTATGTTCCTTTTGAATTTCAACCAAAGATGAAGAACTAGATCTACCATCACTATATTGGATACCTAAACTACATAAGTGTCCTTACAAACAACGGTATACTGCTGGGTCTTCCAAGTGCTCAACGAAACCTCTTTCTAAATTATTAACATCTATTTTGTCAGCAATCAAACCCGGGTTCCAAAGGTATTGTGAAACTGCCTATTCTAGACGTGGCGTGAATCAGATGTGGATACTAAAAAATTCCAAAGATCTCTTAGAGTACATACAATCTAAGACTCTCTCATCTTGCAATAGTATTAAAACATTTGACTTTTCTACACTATAACAAGTATTCCCCATTCCAAACTAAAAGACAAATTGAAAGAGTTGGTATTACTTTGTTTCATTAAAAAGAATGGCGAACGTAGATACAAGTATCTTGTCTTGGGGAGGAACAAATCTTACTTTGTAAAGAATCACTCTGATTCAAACAAAAAATTCTGAAACTGACATAATCAAGATGCTTGATTTCTTGATTGACAACATATTTGTTACGTTTAGAGACGTGTTTTTCAACAGACTGTTGAAATTCCAATGGGAACCAATTGTGCCCCTCTTCTTGCCGACTTGTTTCTTTATTATTTTGAGACTGACTTCATACAGGAATTTCTTAGGAAGAAAGATAAGAAGTTAGCAATATCCTTTAACTTTACGTTCCGCTATATAGATGATGTTCTCTCACTAAATAATACAAAATTTGGTGACTATATTGAACGAATCTACCCCATCGAACTAGAGATAAAGGATACTACAGATACAGTTAAGTCTGCCTCATATCTTGACTTACATCTAGAAATTGACAATGAGGGTTGGTTGAAAACAAAACTTTACGACAAAAGAGATGATCTCAGCTTCCTAATTGTGAACTTTCCATTTCTATGTAGCAACATTCCAGCAGCGCCTGCATACGGAGTATATATGTGCCAATTGATACGATATTCCCGGGCTTGTATTTCCTATCATGATTTCCTTGATAAAGAATTGCTGCTCACAAGGAAGCTACTAAACCAAGAGTGCTAAATGGTGAAGTTGAAATCATCCCTTCGTAAATTTACGGACGCCATCACGAGTTGGTTGACCGTTATGGAATAACCGTTTCACAGATGATATCGGATATGTTCCTTATGTCGTAACTACAATACCCTTCCCTTTTCACGAATATGACCTACCGAATTAGACTATTAACCGGATTTGTAATTACATAAGCAACACGACGGGAGCCACATGTGGAGCAGGATATGCTTACCCTTCCGGTGCACCCGAGATCACCCCCAGTTTTTGGTGGGGTTCGTGATGCTTAGTCTTTAGTTTTCTATGTTGTGTCATCTATACTATTATTTGTCTGTTTGTCTTTTTATTTTTGGCCATAGCGTTGTCAGTTTGTTTTCGATCTATGAGTTTGGCTGTCCCTCTGGTATCTTTCGTCCCTCTTTTTCAATACATGTAATGAGATGGAGTGGACCTAAGGAAACTAGTTTATCTAGCTAAAATTACAGCACGAATATCGCCTCTAACACAATTTTGTGACCATTTAGTTTTATTGTTGCATGAAATTTATTTATCATTGTTATAGTATATTATCAATATTTCGTTAAAACTTTATTTTGCGTAAATTATATTTTCCATAAAGATCAAACCTTCCGCCCTTTACATATATACATTAAAATATATGTCATTTATTTCTCTACATATTTTAATTAATCACATAAATATGTTAGGATGGACCTAGGACAATTGTAGGTAGGACTGTCCTAAGATAGCTTTGTTTTACATCCTAAGACATGTCTCAGACACGTCCTGAGACCATAAAAAATTATGCCCTAAGACATCTCTAAAGACATGTCCTAGGATACTTTCATTGACATGGCCCCGACCAATAAGACAAGAATGTCCTATAGCCCCTTTCTAAATTTATAATCCAAGCGGAACCAATGGCATGTGCCATTCGCGCGCATGTAGAAATACAGGGAACCAAAATACCAACGGAAAACGGATAACATAAAAACTTTGTTGGTGCATCATGGTTATAAAATTCATACAGATAAAAAAACTGTATTCACACAGAGGTAAAGTATTGATTATAAAAACGAGGTTGAGATGAGGGGCATATCTAATGAGTGTAAAAAAGAAATAATTTCATTTTTCTAGAATTTTGTTTGGAGGTCTAAAGTCAGCCTTTAAAAAGAAAAGTATGTTGTCTAGATGAAAACATAGGGGGATCAGAATGACAAGTTTGGAAAGTTTCATAAAAAGCAATCATATTAAATTAATATATAGAATTTTAGAAAGTTCAACACAAAGTTCAAATGCAGTTGCCAAATACTGAATTTAAATTGTACCGAATTCGAAAGTCTGATAGCCTATATAACTTATGTGACACTTTATTTGAAACCCAAGAGCATCTATTCTATTATTGTTATAAAATTCAAAACTTCATTGAAGAAATAAAAAGATTGCTATCTCTGTCCATAGATATAACGCTTACCTGTTTGTAAAAAAGGATTACTGGGTATAATCAAGATCTTGATAAAACGCAAATAAATATTGGAAATTTTATAGTGTTTACAGAAAAATTTAGTTTTTTGAAAGGTCGGCAATAAAACAAGATCATTATATTTCTTGATTTGCGAGTTCTGAATTTATAATGTAGAATTTAGAATTTTGAATTATGAATTACCCTTCTCCATGTTCTCGGCTGTCGTAGTCATGGCTCTTTTTGGATTCAGAGAGATTCGGTTCTCTACGTCGGTTTTCTAATCACATACGTATTGATTTTTTTTTTTAAGTACACATGCATTTTTCTTGCGCTGAGTTATTACATACAGCTAATAAATTTGAAATAGACAGAATTTCTGTTTCACCAACACATTACATCGTGAGAACATAATTTCAATTTTGTGTTTTGCAATTGGATGTAATATATATGTTGTATTCTTTTTTTTTTGTGATTGTGCTGACGAATTGGGTTTCAATGTCAGCGACTTTGCAACTCTCACAGTTGCCTCTTCCGCATGGTTTATAATCTCCTATTTTCGATGTCTCGTGTTTAGATACTTTGGATGAATATCTTTCATCTATTGTCCACAAATACTCGCGTCTTATTGAAAATGATCCTTCCTTAAAAGAGATTCTATCACCTCCCGTCATGGCTTAACCGGACCCAAAACCTCAAAGATATATAGCCATAAAACAAGGTTCAACCAACCATTTTTTCTTAAAATGTCATGTACCAAGCCAAGAATATGGCAGTTGTTATCGAATAGTTCGTTTTGATTTGTGACCCTGATTTGTTTTCGCTTAATCGATTTATGACTATTGAAAAGCGGTATACTACTGTTGCCATTATTTATATCGCAAATGTTAAAACACCGCTGAAATGACAACATTAAATAAAGGCAACAGTAGTATACCGGTGTTCAAAAGTCACATATCAATTTAAAGAAAACAAATCCGGTTTAAAAACCAAAATCTAGGGGAACACATCAACTATAAGAGGACAACAAAGGAACAACAGGAACACCGAAGTGCAACAAAAACAAACATTAAGTGACGGTACAAATAATTGGAACATACCTGTAGTGATCTGAAAATAGCGGGAAAAGTCTCAAGAGTAGAAACAAACGAGTTGTTTCACATGCGAGATCTAAAATTTACATAAATAACCATCATCTATATAATAAATAACCATGATAACTAGTATTCTTAGCAAATTTATGAAAAAATCTGCTTTCCTGCTGCATAAATGTCAAGAAACTAGAGGAGTAAATATAATAAATGTTCAGATGATAATATTTTATGACGGAATGCAACTAGCGCATTTCAAGGTTGTTTTCTTTTTTGTCTTATAACAAATCATGTTGTATCACGATTGCTGGGTATTTAGTGTATCTCGTTTTAGCACGGTAGTTGATTTAAGTGTATTGCGGACTTTTGTAGTTTTCCATTTTACCATAGAGTGTCTGTTTTTCTTCAATCTGTGATTTTCTATAACCCCATAGTATTTTTTGTCTTTTTGAAACGTTTTCCACAAATTAGAATAATGAATATGATTGGGAAAAAAAAAATCGGTAATGACGAAAAAAGGAATTAAATCTGTTTAAGTGAAACATTAGAAATTACAAATTATGACTAAATTAAAAAAAAATGCATAAATGATCCGAATGAGATCGTATTGGTGTAGTTTAAGATTGAAGTTGAAATACATTTCAAACGGTTGTTCGACAAGTGTAACCTTTTTGTTATTCAAATATGCTGCTTTTTATATAATTGTTGAAAAGTAAAGATTATGTTGCACATACAAAAATACCTGGAGTAGAATGGTAACATTTTATTACTTTTTTACAACACCTTCACCACATCTTTTATTTAACATAATTCCCCTTAGAGTGCAATTGTTTTTGCAGGTATATTGTAGGAGACAATGCACCGTATAATTGTGTTTATTATATGCACTGTTTTGAAATGTACAGTCAATGGGTGTCCACTTGTTTGTAGCTGCACGGACACGACGGTTGGTTGCAAGAATAGAAATCTAGCAACAGTGCCGTCTGAAATTCCCAATTCGACACTCGTATTGTGAGTAGTAACATTTTAGTTTTTAGTTTACTTATATAGTAATATGCTATAATATAAACAATGCTATTAGTTTCAGTGCACGTGAATCATATTTTGGACATGCGCTTTAAAACAAATATATTGATTATACCGAAACTTAACGTTTAAGTATTCAAATGAGGGGGAGATACTACGGGGTAATCAAAATAATGAGGCAATAAAATCAGACAACGCAATGAAAAAAAATACAACTAATAGACAAACAACTTTCTACAAAATTTACACAAAATACCTAAAGGGCCATTAGCTGTCAAAATCTTGTTCACCGATCTGACTCAAATTCTCATATTTGATTTATAACATACTAAAACTTATATATAAATAAACACGTAACAATGCATGGACTCGATGATATATATCATCATTTCGTGTGTATTTTAGTCTGGACGCCATTCAATCAATCATCGAGATGACCTCCGAAGCCTGCCGATGGTCATATAACCCGATATAAACATAAACATAAATATAAATAGATAGCGACCTCGTGCAATTGAACTTTTCTAGGTCTGTTTGATTTTTATGTTATAAGTTTAAAAAAAGTATGTTAATCATCGTTTTTACCTGACAGTGTATTAATATGTCAACGAAATGGTCACCTTTGTTTCACTTTGAATGTTGATATTATTTTCATTTTAATGGCTTAACATGACTAATACATGCGTAACCAATCTCTTGCTAATATGTTAAATTGAAGGTCACATGAATACAGATTCAATGAGGTTGAATCATTCACTTGCATGTGAATAATTCATCTTCGAGGTTATTTTGTCAAAATTCAAGTAAACTGGCGGCTAAAAGCGAATTGCTGTTTCACTTTCATTAATGATAGAACAGAAAAAAAAATAATTATCTGTAGCTAATGCCTCTTTAAGATTTCCGAACAAAAAACAGGATAAAATCAGGTGCTCCAGAAGGGTAAGAGGTTTCTGCTCTAACTGGTACAAATTCGGTCGGAAACCGGGACATCGGTGTGATGAAGTCTTAATCGACTTAATTGTCCGCAAGAGAAATACGTTCATACCTTTTTCGTATCTTCTGTCTCCTTTCTTATCGATAGTGACTGTAGGCATTTAAGATTTGATAACACATGTAAAAATAAACAAGAATTATTGTTCCTACGTTCGATTTAGATACGTATAGAACCTCTCAGACATAATCTTCTTTTTTATAGTTGTCAGATCATGTTCAGTCGTGTTCTGTATGCATGAATGATACTCGGAGTTACGCCCCTTATGGTTGACGAAGTTTTATATAGATTTTCTTATATACTAAAGGTACACGATTGTATAGCATTATCTTTATAGGGAAGTTTAATTCTTAATTTTACTATCAAAGAGATGATTATTCATTCCTATTGTTAATTATTCGTTTGTAGAAGGCGACGTTCCCTTTGCACTATCTTATGGTGTTTATGTATCTCAACTTTGTCGATTCGCTCTTGTATGTAACAACTTATTTGATTTTAACGAATGAAATATCTGTAATACATGTACTACTAAACAAATATTACACCAGAGTTTTTGACATGTTTGATATCACAAGCTTGTTAACACTTTTACTCAATTTTATCATCGGTACAAGGACATCATTCGTAAATATAAATAAATTGCAGACATCTTATACGTTCAGGTATTTCACATCTCATCTGTTATGGTAATATTCTATACAAAGCACAACAATGTCGTCATTCACTAGAAAACCTATCCAAACCTTTAAATAGACTTATTCAGAAGGAATATAGTTACGATACTGTTGTCAAGTCATTAACGATGGCATTTTCTGGAATTGATATTGATTCAAGTATAGGGTCTTTGCATCGGAAATAAAAACATTTATTCTAAAAAGTAGTTGTCGGCATGATACGGGTTATAATTTTCACGTATAATTTATGATGGCATGATACTGAACCCCTAACAGGATTGTGATTGATTTGCATATGATAAAGACATACAATATTTCAATCAGTTTAATTGAGGTCTGGAGCTGGCATGTCAGTAACTGCTAGTAGTCCTTTGTTAATTTATGTTATCATCGTCAATTCGCCTAGTTTCTTCTGCTACCTATTTTAACCACAGACTTGAACTTCCTTTGAAATGAGGTTTACTAGCTGTGCGTATTCCTGTGTGTTTGTTTATTTTATATTGGCTAGAGGTATAGGGAAGGGTTGAGATCTCATTAAGCATGTTTAGTCACCTCGTTTTTATGCGCCTGCCCAAGTCAAAAACCTCTACCCTTTGGTAGTCTTGTTTCTTGTTTCAGAATGGGAAGTCCTTTCTAAAATAGCAAAATCAAAAGGACAAACTCTTCAAACGTTTGGAAAACAGCTGTCATATTCGTGACTTGGTACAGGCATTTCCTAATGTAGAAAATGGTGGGTTAACCCTGGTTTTATAGCTAGCTAAACCTCTCACTTGTATGACAGTCGCATAGAATTCCATTATATTGACTGCAATGTGTGGGCAAAACAAACAGACATAATAGGTAAACATATCAAAAATTGGGATACAGCCGAAAACATTGTAACATAATCCTAATCACTACAAAAACAAATAACTACTTCAACAAAGACACATTTCTTTATGTCAGATTATTAAATTCGTTATTTACCAGAGAACACAGTTATTGCATAGTGCATTTCTTTTAGACAATACATACAAAAGCTGTATCTTAAAAAGGTTTCTACAGTGTAGTGTATTACTTTCGGGTAAACTGTAGCAAAACTATAGTAAAGTCTGCAGGTCTAATTCAAAATATGGACAATTCTATGAAAATGATATCTATAATTCGTTTTACAGCTTCAGAATACTTATATTTTTATCCCTTTTCTACTTGACCAACTTATTACTTTAACTAAAATTTCATGACTCATTTTTTTTTTAACCGTAACTTTGTATTTACTATTTTATGCACAACATATCTAGGAATGAATTTGGAAGGTGTATGAATAACAATGTGCAAGTTATACACTATCCACATTAGGGACTTAAGGTGTAGACAAAGAAAATCAAAGGACGATAACTGTGTCCCTGGACCGCATAGGATGGAAAAACTGGACCAAACTTACAAAAACTTGGCTTGACCGTGTCGTAGGGAATTATAAGACAGTTGAAAAAGCTTCATTGAAATATGCAATGTATTATAGGCAAAATTGTCAATTTAACTTTGAACGTTGTGTGTTTATTTTTGACGGTTAAATCGAACAATTTTAACTATCACGATTTGGGCCTTAAATATTTAAATATTGCAACACTTTTTTTTCAATGTCATTTTATATAAGATATCGTGTATTAAAATCAACAGAACAGTCATTTGATATATCAGATTTATTACAATGATTCAGGATTTAGAAAAATTTATATTAGGCTGTGTTTGAAAATGATGATTTTTGAATGAATCGAGGCCTAATATGAACATGCAATTTTCTTTTCACCAATGAATATTGTTTTGGAGTTGTTTTGTAATGAATAATTCTTTCAGACATAAAAATGTGCATGTACTTTGGTTAGAAAGAAAAGTTATACATATCATACCACATGCGTATTAAATGGTCTTAGGCCATGTAAAACTGAAATTACTTTTGGTCAATTTAGGCCTTAACACATATATACATATGGAAATGCATACAGAAGATACAGGAAATAAATATTTGTTACTTTGTTCTATTTTCTGTGATAATATACTTTCCTCTAGATTTAGAGTTAACAAATAGTTCAGAAAACTTGAAATAAGTATAGAAACACAAATTTTAAACCTGCTGGATAGAACATCAGCATGTCACTAAGGCATTAAAATGGAAACAGCTGCACAATGCTTATTTTGCCAATAAAATGCGAAAATGGGATAATTATACCGAATTTCATGAAAATGAAATCCTGTTCTTTTACATAATTCCTCTCTCATGCTCGAGAGCACAATTATTTCGTAATGCATTTTTTGTTGTTGTAGAAAATAAATACAAATTTAAAAAATCGCACCTACTCTATCTCAAAAATATTTTATAGCATGGAGTACTTCTTTGGGGTCAAATTTTATCAAAATTACAAAAAATATATACCCGTTCTATCTGTAATGATTTAAACTCTTCGTTAGAAATTTGAATGACATAACCAATATAGCTGTTAATCAAGCTGTTTTAGAGAAAATTTAAATACCATGCATAGAAATGTTTTTAGTTAATGAACCAACGTGACAGTTTTCTATTGCCCTACTGGTTGCATTTTGAAAATACAACTGTTTCACAAACCACGCCTCTCTTGAGGAGATATATAATACTCATAGATATTTTGTTTTGTCTAACGACTGCTTCCTTGATATGATCTCTATATTTCATCTGATAGACACAACTTGTGAATGTTACCAGTATAAACACGCATAGATAGCGACCAAATTGAATTCTGAAGAAGACCCAAAGTGAAAGGAGGGTAGTACAGGATTTTAGAATAAGTTGAAACTCTTAAATTTCGAGTCATATACATGTTAAAAATATGCTGCACAGCCGTGGCTTGTATGAACATCGGTGAATTACTTTTGCCTATAGTCAAAGTTATTAATTGACTGGCGTCATAGCCATACAAAGTTTATATGACATTTATCAAAACGACTTCCTTAGTGTAAAACATATTGAACATAAACATTCATTTGTTTCAGAGATTTGCAAAACAATCAATTAACTACAATACAACAAGGAGCATTTTCAGACCTACCAGCAGTAAAAGATCTGTATTTCTCTAATTCTTCGTCAATTTATCCCTTTCTACACCCGTTGTATAAAAAAATTTAATCAACGTGTGGTTCGTTTGATCTCAGTTCTTCATTGGTTAAAATCCGATTATGACGTCGAATTTTCTTGTTTTCCTCTGAATTTCCTATTGTGACGGCATGAACAAAGGCGACCATGCCTGATGACGTCACATAGAAAGAACACATCTTTATGCAGATCAGTCGCAAAGACGGGATAAGTTTGCCTGCGTATTGTTTGAAAATCATTAGAGAAACAGATTCTACTACAAATCTCGTGTAATACGATATTTATCCACTCTCGACAGTTAAATTTTAAATATTTAAAACGCTCGGCGAGCCTCGCGTTTTAAATTTAAAAATTTAACTGTCTCGAGTGGATAAATATCGTATCACACTCGATGCAGTGGTAGAATCTATATGTATACAATGTTACAATATTTTATAAAATAGCAAATGAAAACAAAATCTAAAGAAAATCAGTAGCAGAGTATGTTTAGAACTATCAATCGTAATGACCTTTTGGTGTTCTGCCTTTGAATGGAGTAACTATTGGTGACCCGTTTTGTTTAATATTCAAATGTTGATTGCCCCCATGGATCCCCGTTCCCTAACAATGTAAATTATTAGAAATTTGTATCATGTTTGATTCTGATATATAGACGATGGCTAAGTAGCAGGTGTTCGAACCCCACTGAGGAAAGAACCAAAATTTTCCGACGCTAATTTGCAGATCTAGCATCGTGGGGATACATTTGAGAAGTAGCATATGTAAATTATGGTGTTAGCCCTGTATAACCACAAGATATCCGATGGCGAACGTCTGTCGTAAAGTTGTCACATTTTAGACGTTCACAATAAAATTAAAATTTGATGTGACGGCATGGTAATTAAAATTATCATACTTTACGATTGAAAAAAAACAACAGCTGATCTGCAAGTTATACCATCTACTTGACACTATACATCAAATACTGTGTTACAACTCTGGATAACGCCGACGAGGAAAGGCATTACGCAACAAACAAAAGCCATATTTTATATAGCCTAGTTGGTCGAGTAGTCTTGGGCGCTGGACATAATGCAGGCGGTGAAAGTAGGTTCAGATTCAGGAGTTCGAATCCTGCTGAGGATAGAACAAAAATTTTCTATCGCCAAATTGCAGATCTAACATTGTAGGGCTAAATGTGAGATTAAATATACTTGTCAACAAAAGAAACGATACACAAGTTAGAACTAAAATTTATCATAAATATAATAAATAGGAAAATCTTTTAAATTCATGCAAATGCATATGATTAAAAGAATATGACGAAATTAGAAAGTTACAAAATACCGAGTAATTGAACACAGGGGTCAAATTTATTTTGCAGAAAATGATCACAAAAGTCGGCACTTAATTTCGAAGATGATAATTAAGTATTCAAATATCTGCAAAGGCATTCAAAATTTTAAGCAGACCATGTTTAAGTTTAAAAGTTTAAAGTGCTAACACCGATTATTGAAATAACTAAACTTTCAAAATTGGTTTTTTGCGTTTTTGCCTTAAATCAATGGTTTTGATGAGAAAATAACACTCTGTAAAATTTAGACCAATAGGGCAATTATTTACCTCGGTACAGTGTATCCAGTTTCATGATATATGGAAAATACATTGCCTTGTATCGTTTCTTTTGTTGACTAGTATATATGTAATTTATGGGGTTAGCCCAATATACATGTAACCACAGGTTATCTGATGGAGTACGTCTGTCGTAAAGTTGTCACATGTTTAGACGTATATATATATATATATATATATTAAACAACAAAAACATCAAAATAAACATACTTTGGTTGAAAAAAATATAATAATGATCAAATAATTCATTTAAAAACATCTGTCAATGTGGCTTGTATAAATATCGTTAAATACGTTAGCATATAATCAAAGTTGTTAAATGACTGGCGTCATGGTCACACAAATATCCTTATATGATAATTATCAAAATATATTAATGAAAACAAACGATTTCCTCAGTGAAAAATATATTAAACATTAACATTACTTTGTTTCAGATATTTGGAATTCAATCAATTAACTACAATACAGCAAGGAGCATTTCAAGACCTAATAGCGCTAAACACACTGTATGTATACAATGTTACGATATTTTATCAAGAAGCAATTGAAAACAAAATTTCATGTCAATCAGTGGCAGAGTATGTTTAGTATTATATATCGGAACGATCTTCTGGGGTTTTGGGGACCCTGTTCGTCTGACTTGACAATGTTTGCTAATACTGTTATTGGTAACGGTACTTCTTAAAACAAGTAAAAAAAAAACGAGCTCAAAGGACAATTCAAAACGGAAAATACCTTATCAAAGGCAAAATTAAAAGCTCAATCGCTTCAAACAAATGGAAAACAACTACCATATGCCTGACGTGGTACAGGCATTTCCTGATGTATAAACGGCTGGATTAAACCTGGTTGTATAAGTAGCTAAATCTCTCGACGTCCTATATGTATACACTGCTGATTGCATTATGGTAACAAACATGTGTTAACAGAACATACAAATTTTAAGGATATTTAAACAAAATATTGCGATACAGATTGTTTTTTTTTTTGTTCTTTTAATAAAAGAGATATTGCTGTTTATTTTGTAAAAAGGAAAATGAGTATTGTAATAGATTAATCGACATAAACATTTGCAAAGAAAAACAAAATGATTGACACGGATATAATTTCGTAGATTCTATCAATAATTCTAGGAATAAACTAAACGCACACAAGAATACTTCATTTTTACAACTGTGTATGCAAAATTTTACCAGCAGTTTGCAGCTACCATAATGTAATAAATACAAATTGCCACCATATGTTTTGTTGCAATCATGATGTAGCATTGTCAGATAAAAATTGTTTGGAATGTTTTTGTTTCCTTAAAGTTCAAAAACATTTTATAATTAAATGTCATTAGAATACATACATGTTCCAAGGACAACAGTCTTTTTATCTGGACATTATATCTCATATATATGATATAGTCCACAAACCTTTTACCTGATATATTGGCAATCACAGACTGATGTATGTAGGGGAAATATTCTAGTGCGGCTCCCCCTTTTTTATGCATGAATTCGTGTTCTTAATGATAAAAGGCCAAAACTCTGATTCTCAGGTAGAGACTTTCAATCTCAGTTAACCCCTGGTGTTTGAATCATATAATGATTTTTTCACTCTCCAGTTTTTTGTATTATATTTTGTTGACTTTTGTTCATCCATTATTTTTTTTTTCTGTTTTTATTCTTGCTCGCTCTTCAGTTTTCTTGATTATATTATGATCTATAGACGGAAAGATATGGAATCATACCTCCATATTAAGTGTACACAGTAATGAAATTATCGTCTTTTCTTGTCGTTTGGATTGATTTTTTTAAGATTAAATTCATTATAATAATATTGTGAAATCATTTCGTGCTTGGACTCATGCTAGATCATTTTAATAAATCATTTGATTCCATATCTATTTCAATGCATTTGAACTTTTATACATTTAGTGCGGATTTTAAATCAGCCGATCAACACTGAACGATTGTTTTTGGCGAACTAAATTGTGATGCTATAACTATCAGAGTTCGTATAACTCTGAGCGGGAGATGTGATAAATATCTTCTGTTGTCACATATGAAATTCAGGTTTATTTGTATTGTTAAGAATTTTAAAACTCAATCGAAATATTAGGACTGTTTATAGGAACTTCATGGATAAATATGAAGTGTAAAGTTCAACATCTGATATTCACTGATATATGTCTACCCTCTAGTATGTTCAACATCAAATTTTGACCATTGGTTGGGATATTAGATCTTGAGATTTTGGCCTTTTATTCGGGTAAAAAGCTTGGGTTGGTGAATCTAATTATACTACCTGTTGAAATCAATCAGGGTTGTAATTTTCAGCTTCTATGTTTCAATAAGAGGCGAAATATACCAAAGGGACATTCACACCCATAAGTCGAAAACAACTCGATAACGCCTCGGCAAAGAAAGAAAAAGAAAATAAACAGCAGACAACCAGTACATAAAACTCAACATAGAAAACTTAAGAATGAGCAACACGAACCCCACCAAAACTGTGGGTTAATATGATTGTTTGCCTGTAGTATCACTGAAAAGACATTAATTGTCGAAATGCGCATCTGGTGCTGGAGAATTTGTTCCGTTTATGTTATTACAGTCTATTGCATTGTTCATACTATTGAACGGCACTAATCTTGCACGTATTGTTGATGATGATAATGATAATGGATGGCTGTTAACGTCCAGCGGCAAATTATTATGCATCTCGAGGAAGAGAAAATTTTAATGTATTATGAATATGATACCTTCTTTGTACTAGACCGACACGTCGAGCCGGATTTTTAACGTTCTAGTTCACAAGGTAACCTTACTAGGACACTTTACTCTGACTATGAGCCGACCAGTCTTTGATTTTACTCATTAATGCTGCGTGCGCAGTGGAGAACCAGCAAATACCAATTTTAAAGTCTTCTTTTCTTTGAATCACCTCAAATTGTATTGTAGTGGTCTCCAATTTTGATTTCGGTGCTACAAGTAATTCAGTCTCGGCTACCCCATATGAATAAGAAATGGCTATTTTCTTTAGTCTCATTTCTGGCAGTTATTTATGTTAAAATATTTAATTATGATAATAAAGTAAAATGCATCTATATCTATCAGACTGTAGCTAGGTAGGTTTGTATTTTCGTTTTGCTAAGAAAATCTGATTGGGTCAAAATAGAAACTACTAAATTATATTATGGAAATTAGATAAGTTTTGTACATTATGAACTTGTCTGTAGATTAATTGGTCTATTAATTATGTTAAATGTTTGAAGCAATATGCTTCAATATGTGTTTATGCCTAGCAAGCTTGATAATTGATCCGTGAAATAGCACGAAAACTACTTATGGGTTAAAACAACATCCTATAGAAAATTCTACAGAGTTTGGTATGCATTATGTAATGGCAATAATTTTATTTGAGTGATTAACATATGTGTCTGAATTCGATAATTTATCATCAATGAAGATGTTATAGAAAATCACGATGAAGATAGTAATCAGCATCCCAAATGTAAACATATATATTTAGTATATATCTCCCCGTTGATACAACATTCCAGGGCTTGTATTTCCTATCATGATTTCCCTGTTAGGGTGTTGCTGCTCACAAGGATGCTTTTAAATCAAAAAGTTCAATTAGTGAATTTGAAAGCAACCCTTCGTAAATTGTACGGACGCCATCACGAGTTAGTTGACCGTTATTGAATATCCGTTACATAGATGACAACGGATATGTTCTTATTGTCGAAACTACAATCCCGTCCCTTTTTCCCCAAATGTGATCTCACGAATTAGACTTATCACCGGTTTTGTACTAACATGAGCAACACGACGAGTGCCAAAAATGGAGCAAGATCTACTTACCCCTCTGAGCACCTGAGATCACCCAAGTTTTTTGGTGGCGTTCATATTGCTCAGTCTTTAGTTTTCCTTGTTGTGTTGTGTGTCTTTTTTTTTGGCCGTGTTAATAGCTTCCAATTTTGGCGTTGTCAGTCTATTTTCGACTTATGATGTTCCTTTGGTATCTTTGATTTATCTAAGATATGCATTTATAATTGTCTCTATGCAGAAACGAAATTGACGATAATGATCTCTAATGCATAATGTTAGGACAATATTATTTTTAGACACAGAAATAAATATACCGTATAGAGCCTAAGTGATTTCAAAACAGAATGTAAGGGTCTGGTTGGAGTTTACAGAATTGAGAGTGCTGGGCCAAAAATAAAGAAAAAAATGCAAAACAAATAGAAAATAGAGATAAAAAGCCATAAAAAATAAATAATAGAGATAAATTGGGTGCTTAAATACAGAGAATAGAGAGTAATTCTCAAAATTTATAAAGAGTAGCAAAAATGGTTTGAAAATGTAAGGAATATTGGATTGAAAAAACCCAAGCCATCCCAAACAGATTCTCAGAACATTGTGAAATCAGCAAGTTAAGCTCGATGGTTATAAAAACAGTTAAAAAAAAAAATGTATAAATGCAAAAAAAAAAACAAAAAAAATGAATTATGCTTATCTAAACATAGGACGTATTCAATGACTCTTTGATGTATATGTACAAATGTATTACCGTTAAGCATTATTTCATCATTTTACATGTCATTTTTTTATATTAGGTTTAAATGGGAGTTAAGTGTTAAAGAATTGAGAATTATTGGCAAAATTCAAACACAAATGTTTAGATACATGTAAAACAAAAAAACATACACTTGATACGGTAGAACCTAAGAAATTTTATATAAGAAAATTGTGAAACGTTAAAAACTCGTTTTTTTACACCTTATAATTTGTTAATTTGAGTATATAAAGCGTGTGTGAATGTATTTGACAGCTCGATATATGACACTTAAATCATGAATATTACATCTGCTTTCAAAAGAAGATAAATACTGGCACTAGAAACCAGTGTAAAACATCGTTTTCGTTGATGTTTACTGTAAATTTCAAAATTATTGTGTGCATTCGTTATTGCGATTTGTCAAGAATGGACAAACATGCGAGTTTAATCATTGCGATTTCGAAAAAAATCTAAATACAGATCTATGTTTCAGTTATCCTTGTTATCAGAATGCGTATTTTTTTATTGCGATACTCAACCAGTTGTATTATTTGCATTCATAAAAACCTCGCATTAATTTCTGAATTTACAGTATTCTAGGTGTCACATGTATTGCTATTTACTGACTGTTGTACCCTAATTGTTGACATACTTACATATTAAGATGTTTATTTTGTTCATATATGTTGTCAATACATACATTTTACTTTTTTGAAGATATATCAATTAAGGAGCCGAAAAAGTTCAGTCATAGTTTGAACAAACTTCTCTTGAATAGCTATCACAAATGGTCGAAGTTTAATTTGAGTCACTTACATAGACTAGAAATAGAGACCCTCTACCGCCAAATTGGAAAATAAGGGCCATAGTCCGCTATTTGTTAAATCAACATGGAATAGGTGTAAACTGGAGAACAGTTCGCCATTTCATATCGAAGTACAAGTTAGTGGATATTTAAGACGAACCGAACAATAATTTCATTAAGTTCCAAAATGTTACTGACGGAGACATTTCAACAATTAGATCAGCATTAGCCAACCTACGGCCCATCTCTGCAACTGATGTTCGGCCTGAACCTGTACGTAAAGGGTCAATTTTGTCAAACACTACTGTAAAGAGAATAATTTACGAAACCAATTACACAGCCAGCTCACTGATGAGTCGCAATGAAAATAAAGTGACTAACTATCTTTTTAGCTTAATGAATTTATTTTTTAAATTTCCATAATAAATTGATTCACTGGATAACAAATGCATAATTTAATAAATTATTCAGTATTTTTTTTAATCGGCAATTGTAATTAAATCAGCGACGTTTTAATCTTTAGTCACAACATAAAATTGAAGCCTTAATAAAAGCTGTCATTTGCTAGGAGGCACTTATAAAACGTCATTTGCGTAGGAGATATTTATAAAGACAAAACTGCAGAAAATTAATCATTGACAGACAATAGCCTAAACACATATTTAAAACTTTAAAAATGTTTTGTTTTACACTTGTTAATATTGTTTACATACATATACACTAAACCAAAAATCGGTTTGAAAATGTAAGGAATATTGGATTGAAAAAACCCAAGCCACCCCAAACAGATTCTCAGAACATGCGTAAAAAAATCTCCAGATAAAGGGTTGACCAGACGAACAAGATGTACAAGAAATGAACTCAAATTATTTAAGAGAAATATGAAAACTAAATTATTTACATCAGTTAGATAACTATAACATATATAAATGTATAAGATAACAACTCAATTGTTTTATGGAATTATTATTAATGAGCTTATTTATCAAAAACAAAAAACGTTATTGTTTTCAGTTTATTATACCGAAAATAACATGAAATATATCTATTTCATTCGTGTTTTAAAAATTCAAATCAATGCATACACTAGGAAAGTTTTTGTCCGAAAGTCTATTAATTAGCGCATGGTTACGAAGTTTTCTGTCATCTCAAAACTCAATTTTTGTAGATAATATTTTTCTTTATGACTGCAATATTTTTTTTTAAATATATTTTCATATCGACTGTATAATTCGAGAAAACAAAATGTTTGGCTAATATGTAAATAAAGACAACAGTAGTATACCGCTGTTCAAACAACTTTGCAAGACAGACCTGAAAAGATGTTAATTCAAATTGATGTGCTGATTTATAAATCTATTATTATGATAACATCTTATGTACAATTATGTCAAAACACATCAACTGTGACACCTTGAACATAGATGTAATTAAGATTCACCTGATCTGCCTCAACTATTGCACCTCACCTGTTACTTTATGTATTTAAATTATTCACCTTGTACAATGGCACGTACCTGAACGCTTGACTGGTGAAATTAAATCCAACAATTACCTTGTTAATAATCAAACAGAAGGTGAATATTTGTTTGACATATAGGGCCATCATGGTCACCATAGATTTATCGTCGACAATTATTAAGGAATGTCACGGATCGTACTGCATATGTTATTTATGGAATCAAAATCATTAAAAAAAAATAAATAACTGATGCGTCTATGAATATAAACCTGAAAGATTTGTACATTTACATTTTACCATTTGGCCATAATATACAACATCTGAAATATATGTATACTGTTTATATGTATGACAGTTTGATTTATAATGTAACGCATATATAGATATTACAGTCATGATACTTTAGTGTGTACTATTTTTTTCCAGAAGTTTGAATGGAAACTATCTGACATTTGTCAGGGAAGACACTTTTGAAAATCTCACTAACTTAAAATATCTGTAAGTACAAATAATATCAATGATTTCATAATTTAGAGAATTCTTGATATTTGACGTATGTAATAAAAATAGCTTACATATACACCCCAAACGATGTCTTATTACCGACTGCATGTCCCCATTGCCTCTAGGAAGAGGGACAACTTGCATCCTCGAACTCGCATGTGAACCGTATACTAGTATCCTAAATTTCGTCTTTTATATAATTAAACTTGGGTGTTTTTCTCTTTTAAATGATTAATTTCTATTGTTTCAACAACTCAATTTGCGATTACAATATTTTATGTGACCTACCAAAATATACTTATCAATGAGTTTGTACATATATGAGCAACACGACGGATACCACTGTTCAGGAGGATCTGCTTACCGTTCCTGAGAATCTGAGATCACCGCCAGTTTTTAGTGGGGTTCGTGTTGCTCAGTCTTTAGTTTTCTATATTGTGTTTTATGTACTGATTTTTGTCTGTTTGACTGTGTGCTTATATTCATCTCATGAAATTGAATGTCCTATTGGTATCTTTCGGCTCTCTTTGAACATTTTGATTCTGAAATTAATAAGTTGATCGTTTATTTAAGAATGATTTTTTGTTTGGTTAGAAAATGTGTGATCGACAATTGTGAACACGCTTTAACGTGTTTTTTATTTTTATTTTCTATACATGTATGTATGTCCGACATGGTTAGAAAATATAAATAATTACACCATTACTAACATAATTCTATATTAATATTCTTGTAATGCTCAGAAAATACAGAAAAAAAAACAACATTACAAACTTAATCTTAATTTTATTATCTATTTTCAGAAATTTACTTGTGACGTCTCTTTTTGTGGCGTTGATACATTCGTGTGACGCACAAATCATAATTTCATTGTGGTTTTCATTGGAGGTGTCCGTTGTTATTATTAGTTTACATGTTGGAGTGTACTATTATATTGTTTATTTATGTATTTCTCTGTCTTGGGTGTTCTTGCGTGTATTTGTACTGTATTCCTCTCAGGTAATGTTGTCATTTTAGCGGTATTTTGAACATTGCTATATAAGCAGGAGGTTTGGTTGGCCATACAAATAGGTTCAACCCACCATTTTTTCTCAAAATATCCTGTACCAAGTCAGAAATATGGCAGTAGCTATCACATAGTCCGATTCTATGTATATTGACGTTTGTTTTTGTAGCAGCTCAGTGTATCTGTTGTTCCGTTGTTTTTCTCTTAAAGTTGATGTGTTTCCCTCGGTTTTGGTTTGTGACGCGGATTTGTTTCAGTTAAATCGATGTATAACTATTGAACAGCGGTATACTACTGTTGCCTTCATTTAACGTATGTTGTATAAAGCTTGTTTATTAGATACGCAACTGTACAAGCGTATAAATTTAAATTAGTCCATAAAAATAAAATAAACAAAAAAAAATCTTACATTTACAGAATGCTAGTTCAAAGCAATTCATAGGTGTGTAATAAAGTTTATGTCGTTTGGATATTAGATTTCAAATATCGTAATAAATGTTTTATCTCTTTTTTTATTTATACTTTTGATCAATTTAAATGTAAAATTGTTATAATTTACCCTCACATTTCGTTGACAATGAGCTCTTTGATTTACAGTTACAAATACGACACGAATGGTTTTCTTTATTATTTTTGCGCATTTCGTAACTTATATAAGTTTACTGGAATTTGTGCTTCACTAGTGAGTAATCCATAATAACTTGAAGGCGATTAAGTGAATTAATTGATAAGGAGAGCAACTGGATAGGTGTTTTATTCATAATTCTAAACAGCATACCTTAGATATCTTTGGAATTTCATCAGATTCATGCATTTGAAAGTGAGTGAATGAGCAAGAGACAATTGGATGGCTGTTGTTTCCTGTTGCACTTCTATGTGATTTCGTATGCTTAAATTTATTTTTAAAAAATATTCATGTCTCAAACGACATATAAAGACTGTTATAGAAACCTCAGTGATTGCCGAGACTATGCTTACATTTAATCCTATTTATTGACTGGGTTCAGGGTCACACCAATATCCTTATATGATATGTATCTATCAATGATAATAACTAATATATTTTTAGTGTAAAATATATTGAACATTACCGTTATTGTGTTTCAGGTTTTTGGACAGCAATCAAATAACTACAATACAGCAAGGAGCATTTCAAGACCTACCAGCTCTTAACTACCTGTATGTATATATTGTTACAATATTTTTATCACGAAGCAAATGATAACAAAATCTATGGTTAATCAGTGGCAGAGTATGACTACTAATACCAACGATTACGAATCTCTGAAGTTCTGCCGTCGTAAAGAGTGATCATTGGTGACTTGATACGATAAGCTAATACTTTCAAAGAAAATATTTATTCTTAGAAACAAAGTGATAGGTTCAGTGATGAATTCTGCAAATTGTCATCGACGTCCATTTTTGTATACACTGCAGATTTCATTATGGTAAAAATCATGTCTTAAAAGAACGTCTTAATCTTTAGGATATTCTGGAAAATATTTCGATAAAGAGAACATGTTTGTGTTATTGTCTTTAAAGCAAAGAGTTGATGTTGTTTTATTCTTTAAAAAGGAACATAAGTTCGGTAACGAATTAAACGACATAAGAATTTGTAAGGAAAAGCAATTATCAATAGGACAAAATGACATAAAAGCTAACAACTATAGGTCATCGTCTGGCAATCAACAATGAGCAAAAACCATACCAAAGAGTTAGCTATAAAAGACTCCAAAAATACAATTGTAACACAATTCATACAAGAATACTAACGGCCTGATGTTCATACAATACAATGAACGAAAGACAAATATGATACACAGCAACAAACGACAACCACTGAATAACAGGTTCCTGACTTTGGAATGATGCATACAGAATGTGGTGGGGTTAAAGTAGTTTGCTGGCGCCTAACCTGGGACAATGGTGTAACAGTACAACATAAGAGCAAACTTTAAAAATGAGTTGAAAAGGGTTTAACTGATCAGATCGAAAACGTCTAGCAAAAACACATACCTGACTTGACAGGGTATTTACACATCCCAACAACATGCGAATCCCATGAGAACGATGATAAGTTATTTGATCGATATATCTCATGATATTGAGATATACAATTAAATGTACAGTAGATTCTGTTTTTTTAATATTTTCTTATGCTCTGATAACATGAACGATCACCATATCAACTGAACATACTATTTTTCTACAGCATTTCATTGGCTAGTATAAAAGAAATGATACTCCTTCCTCGGCTATTGTACATATACCCTGTAAACGATTTTCCACACATGTCAGCTGATTCACAAACTTTTCGTTCAAGTCACATGTTAAGGATTGATCAATATTAAACCGGACCAAAAAGATAAAATCGATTCGATTTTTCTTTATGAGCATATCATCATATTCGTCCCAATTGCATGAGGTCGTGTAATGTAACCCGACAGATTAAAACGACCAACTATGTAGTGATAGTCTGAACTAGGACGTAACTATACGTCTTCTATGTAGTGTTAGTCTGATCTAAGACGTCACTATACGTCTTCTAGGTAGTATTAGTCTGAACTAGGACGTCACTATACGTCTTCTATGTAGTGTTAGTCAGAACTAGCACGTCACTATACGTCTTATATGTAGTGTTAGTCTGAACTAGGACGTCACTATACGTCTTCTAGGTAGTGTTTGTCTGAACTAGGACGTCACTATACGTCTTCTAGGTAGTGTTAGTCTGAACTAGGACGTCACTATACGTCTTCTATGTAGTATTAGTCAGAACTAGGACGTCACTATACGTCTTCTATGTAGTGTTAGTCTGAACTAGGACGTCACTATACGTCTTCTATGTAGTGTTAGTCTGAACTAGGACGTCACTATACGACTTACTGTATAGATCTAGTATCACATAAAGAAAATATACAAATATCAATTATGACGTTTTCGTCTTGAAAGATAGTTTACAGAATGGTACACATGCTCACATTCATCCATTTAAACGCACGAGTACGGTGTACAGATGGGTGCGGTCCTAACCTGTACAAAAGTTAACTTTGAGCAGACTTGTTGACTGCTTTTCAAGTTAACTTGGGAAATTTTAAGCAGACAATCAAATTAACTTCGTCGTTGGTAAACCAGACCTACGGTCTGCTTTTTTAGGACTGCTGCAGACCAGACCTGTGGACAAGTCTGCTTTTGACCAGTCCTGAGGACAGGTCTACCCCAGACCAGACCTGTGGACAGGTCTGCTCCAAATCAGACCTGTGGATAGGTCTGCTCCTGACCAGACCTGTGGACAAGTCTGATATTGACCAGACCTGGGAACAGGTCTGCTTATGACAGATTACCGTGTTTAAGACCTGAGCTTTTAATATGTAAACAATAATCGCATTGCTCTTTTTTCCCAGTATAGCAAATTTCTTTACTCGTTGGACTCTATCGATATTATACACTTAAAAAAAATTCTTTTTTTCATTTCATATTCTTATATACATTAAACAATGGCTATAAAATTACACACTTGTGATCACATACAGCTATCATTAAAGAAAGGAAAGTTTTTATTTAATTAGAAGGCGATTAGAAAGGTTATCCAACGCATCGGAACAATATTTTTAAATCATGGGATATCAACATCATTGTCGATGTTGCTTCGTTCCCCATATTTTACAGTCTCTTCCTAAATTTTACTTTATGCATTACATGGATATTTTATCACAATTCACCTTGTTTGCCTTGGATTTACGATTCTGTTTTCGACAAATATTCTAACGAAAATTGTATAGTGTCCGGATAGATAAGGTGTTGAATAATTATGAATAAATATCGTCAATTTCGTCAGATTTGTTTTTACCGATTAAAAATGATAAATGGGACATAATGTACTAACAGTATACTATTTCCAGAAGAGAACTTCTTATACTTTTGCTATACCAGTCAGCCTGAGGTATCAAAAGTACAACAGGAGGACATGCTGGCACTCTAAATTTATGCAGACAAAATTTTGTAGTCATTGCGTTTAAATACTACTGTGTATTTGTATTTTACATTTAATCCTGACATAAAAATATTACCGAATTATTATGCAGCTATAAAGATTTACATAATAAAGTGTAAATATGGTCAGTTTTGGTTGATACGGTCTAATAATTTTGCTATACACGTCAGCCTGGGGTATCAAAACTACTGAAATTATGTTACGTATCAATATTATGAATATATTGAACATAAGGAGGACAATCTGGCACTCTATATTTATGCAGGCAAAATTTTGTACTCATTGTGTTCAAATATTGCTGTCATTTGTATAATACAATACATCCTGACATAAAATATTACTGAACTATTATACGGCCATTTAGATTTATACTTTTATACAAACTTTTTTTGGAAAAATTATAATGATCAAGTGAATTTTTAGAAAAACAATCTGTCAATGCCACTTGGTTGAAAATTTGTAAACAACTGTTGCCTATACAGAAAGATCTTGATCGACTTGTGTCTAAATCCCTATATGATATTTATCAAAATTTTATGAATCGACATCTATCTATGGTGAAAAAAATGTTCAAAGTAAAAGAGAGGCGAAGGATATCAACGGGATATTCATACTCATAAGTCGAAATTAAATTAGCTAACATGAACATTGGAAAAGAACACTAATTATTGAGACAAATATAGTTTTTTGGTAACAGCAGTTAACTGAACGCATTTAAGAAAGAAGACTTCCATTCTCCACCTTTAAATAAAATCTATCAATCGCAGTTTTCAACTACCAGTATGTAATTAATAACAATTGCCACTCTATATAACGTTGCAATCATAATGTGGCATTTTCAGATAAAAAAACTGTTGGCAAGACTTTCTATTTTGTAAAAGAACATTTCGTTTACTTTGAAAATATTTATTACATGGTCTATGACGCCTTTAACTGATAAATTGGCAAACATAAATGTGTGTATGTATGAGAAATATTTAAGTATGTCATCTCTTGGTTGAGGTACTATTCGTTTTCTGAGCGATAAAAGGTCGAAACTTGGTTGAGACTTGTTTAAGCCTCAGTTATTACGCAGTGATGTTAAGGCAATTTCGCGGAGTTTTTGTCAGGGGTAGGTAACTCCGCAATTACCTCATTATATATTCATCAATGGCGGATTCCGTAAGCAGCGTCCATCGATAAAATTGTTGAATACAAATTACATGCGTGCATGAGGATAAAAAAATGATACTGGTATGGTGTTATTTGATTATTGAAACACGATTACGGCATTTTTGTGATGAAACTATATTATAAATGGTTGCAATAGATGTTTTTATTGCCGGGATCAGACCCCGCCTACTTCCGAAAAGCAACCAATCAGAAGCCGATCTCCGTCATTAGATGCTTGAAGTTTGCAGAATGGAAAGCACCTTGCTGGAGCAATTATTTTCTCTAATGTGTGAAAATATACCGACAAAAGTAAGTGAAAGCTACAAAATATGTAAGCATTAAGGAATATAAGTTAATTACTTTGTATTTCATTCATTTAAGTAGATGAAAATAGGTGGAGGATTAGAAAAAAACGAGTTTAGCTTTGGCAAACATGCTACACGTGGTCAGATCGAAATGATACTGGGGGGAAAATATATAAAATGGAATAATTGACTCCCTTTTCAAAATTAATAGAGTAGCGAATAAAACAAATGTGTATACTAGTGTTTCTACCAGTAACTAAAAAAAATCACCCTAACAAGATATTATAGATTGGAATGAAAAAAGCCTTTCAAAAGTCATAATCAATTGGACTTGAGGAGGATTAACCCCCCCCCCCCCCCCCCCCCCCCTGAACATTTTCAACCCTGCCTAGACAAAACCCTGCCTTATTCTGTATGTGCGTCTCTGAAGTCAGAAGCTGATTGGTGTTGCCAATATCATATTTGTTCTTTTGTTGTCATGTTCACAAATTAGGCTGTCAGTTTTCTTGTTTGCATTATTTTATGTTTTGTTTTGTCTGGGCCTTGATTATAATAGCTTGCTATGAGTTATGGGTTTTGTTCATTGTTGAAGGACTTAATGTGACCAATAATTGCTTATATCTACTTCATTTAGTCTCTGATGGATAGGCAATCTGGCATGTAACATATTATCCTTATTTTATTTCCATGTGTGTACACATAACTGCAAGGTGAATATTTAGTGCCTTCAAGATCCACAGTGAAATAGGTAAGTTGACAGTTGATCCCAGAGCATGCAAAATGAATAAAGTTT